AAAGACTAGGTTTGCATTATTGCATGGGTGAAAACCTACCAGTTCAGCCATGGCTGAGGCGGAGGTTTACAAGACCTCTTTTGCTGTTATGAAAATCAAGAAGTGCTTTGCGCTCTTCTGCAGTTAAAGGTTCGGTAGCTACTAGTGTTACCAAAAACAAGGTGTAAATGAGCGTGAACACTTTGCCTAAAAAGAGATGAAGAGTGATCAGTCGTTCTGATCCACACCAAAGCAGTTCGTGAACTCATGGCTCTTCCCTATCTCATGCAAGATGCACAAACCAATGACAGGTTTATATAGACGTAGCTGGTCTTCCGTACCTCGCACTTACACTTGTATACATGCCATAAATCTGGTGTTGAACACCACTGCGAAAGTGCTGGGACGTTTCAAGTGCGACAGGCTTACTTCATATTTGAATGGGTTGTGTGAACGAGGTAAGGGAACAGAAAGAGGAGAAATATGGTAGGGTCGTAGCACAGCAGTTAGCAAAGAAGCCTGTAGAGGCATTTTTTCAACAATTACACGTCTTCACCTCTACAGACTTCGTATGCGGTTGAGTTGGCTAATGCCGAAACAATAGTACTAGTAGATCATATGACAAGATACCTGACAGTATGTTACAAACATACGTAAATATTTGTCAAAATACCACTCACTCTGGAGAAGGCACTGACTGATTCAGACGATGCCGTGTCAACTCGTTACATTTATCAAAATATTTTGTACATGGGAATGAAGTCGGATAGTAGAACAAGAACATGTGGATCTCGTTAGACATTGCGATTCTGAAATTGCGCAAATGACTGAGCAAATAGAGCTTACTTGAAGTATAGAATTACTTGTAAATGGCAGGCAGCTTAAATTTGTGCTAGTTTACAGGTAACTAGTTTATATTTTATCATAAATGGTGCAGGTTAGATGAGCATGCATGTTAAAAAGAGGATTAACCATTGCCAACTGACAGTAGCAACTTATTTTTAAAGTACATTGCGATCAGGAACACTACTGAAGAGTGGCATCTTTTGTAGCAATTTAGATGTAGGGACTACTTTGCATTGTTTTACTTCACTTGAATTAAATCCATTTCTTTTTTTCTGTTTAATTGCGGTCGGTTGTTTAGGTGGCTGTCAGTAATATGCATTGTGAGATATAAAATGATAAGAGAATCTTGGCTCCCTCCTTTACATATCAATTAAGTGATTTTATATCAACAAATGCCACTCATATTCATCTGTGCCTAATATCCATACATTCATTCAGGTGCTCATTCAAAGATACAATAGATGCAGATGCTGGTGGCACTTTCTGTAAATACAACCGCATCGTACCACTTACTTGGTATTCATAAAACACCAAAAAACTTTCCACACGTCACTACATTATTCTTTCCAACATTGCTATGTCGAAACCTGCCATGTATTTGTATATTTGTAATGTAAATGCCACACTTACTG